CGATAAATACTGAAATTACCTTTCTACAGCCAGACCCCGTTAGTCTTATACTAGCATATCAAGGTCATATATACCCAAATTAAACCCTAACAAACATATTGATCATCCTTTACATGTTGCCCTATATTCTTATTGGCTCTGGGACAGTACTGCACTATATTATCTGTAGTCATTTCTGCTTTATCCACAGAAAAAAGAAAGTTTTCCAACCATCAGATCTCTGCCAATGCAGAGTCTGAGCCCTGACTGGATTGTTCACCCACACTATGCAGAATATTACACAATCTCTGGTACTGACCAATGTGCAAGATCTCCTGTGTATGACTACCATTAATGTTGGATTTCCCAAACCATATCTGTCGCAAAGCCAAAAACTCAGATCACACCGTTCAAGTTGAGATACGATATCTACACAGGAAGGAATTCATTTTTTATTAAATCTGCAGACTCAAGACTTGCATTATGCAAAGAATCAGTAAGGGCCCATTCAGACTTGTTTGATGTGGTTGCATGCAGTAAAATGCAGCCAATGTGGGGATTTTGCTGATGGCAATTCATTCACTTGGTGAGATTTCCTTGTCTCCAGAAAAGAAAATGTAGGTGGGTGTCCCCAGCAAAAAATAAACCGATTAGGTTTTACACTTCCTTATTCCATTGAAGGCCCCTTTCACACATGGCCTTCAGTTCCGATCAGGTGGGGATCCGTGCACAGAGCCCCTTGGGAACAGATGTCACCATTGTGACATTCGAGTCTGCCCACTTTTTTTCCTTCATCTTGCAATAGAGCAGCAAACTGAAATTACCGGACCCATGTTGGTCTAAAGGGAATCGGATGTAAATGGACATGTGTCATTTCACATCAGATTACCTCCAATCCAGCATGATCAGGTCCGGCGAAACAGAACTCTGATGCGTTTGATTTTTCGGACCTGGCCAGTGCTGGGGTTAACCAGGTGCAAATGGACACCCATCCGTTTAGATCTAACTGCCCATAGAATATCAAGCTTCTGATCAGGTCCGCTGAAAAAACTGATAGACGGACCTGATCGGAATGACCATGTGAAAGAGGCCTAAAACTATAAGTTTTACCTTAACAAACACGGCCAGGTTTTTGTTTTACTAAAGGCATATACTTTATAGGCTGTTTACTTTGCAGATAAATTTCCCCTTAGCTTAGTGAATGAGGTAAAAGCTCCGCTGACTTCCATCATCTAATCGTGTGCAAAAAAATTAAATAAAAAACACCGTGCACTTGGTTAGGTATTCTTTGCAAAGTGAATTTACACCACACGTGCTAAGTTAAAATGTCCTTGCAAGGCGAACACAGCCCATTTGCTTTTTAGCATATCAACCCCCAAGTCTTAATTTCAGGCCTGACTTCTGAGAAAAGCAGTATGTCAGTCAATCACACAAACAGTTAATTGGATTTCTGGGTCACCACTGTGCTCAAATAGGGTATTTCATTCTTCCACGATGCCATGCTGCAACGCAGAGATATTTGAAATGACAATTTTAGAAAAAAAAAAAAAAAAGTGGAACTTTACCCATATCTTAAAAATGACAAAGGCAGCTTTATAAATGTTTAGTAATGACAATCTACAGATACATAGATAGTCGTCAGCTTTTTAGTCTTTGCAGACCTTATTTCTCTATTCCCCGCCATGCTTCTACCAGTGGCCATTTTTTGTAAGGGCATATTAATATATATCCCTTTACTTCCTGGAACATGTGACCATGCACATCATATCAGGGGAGGAAAATGCCTTTCCCTGAGATCTTGTGAGATTACAGATTAGATTCCCCAGCAATGCTCTGCTGATGTAACTTTCCCAGGATGCAACGCTTGGGCACATTATATCACTAATGCCCCAGGGAAGACCAGGAAGTGGAAAAACATGTATGTTTGTTTAACTAATGAATGTAAGATGATTTCACATCAGCATGCTGAGGCGATTTTTAGTGAGAGGGGGTAAAGGTCCACTTTAAGAACTAGAAAAGGATTTAGGATTATTTTCTTGTAGTGAATCTCCCCAACAAGGGCACATACAGTAATAAAGTGTTACGGGGTTATTACCCCTTGCACGATTTATCGGAGACTAGAAAAAAACAAACAAAAAAAACTGAGTTTGAGACACTTAGGGCCAGTTTAAGGTAAAGGGTCTGCACTGATGTGTGATTTCATGCATAGGTGTGAATGGGCCTTCGTCTCTGTTTATATCTAGACTGTTCACACTTAGACTTACCAATCTTCCAATATCAATAATGACTCTTTAGGGCAGAGTCCCTTTCCCCATCCAAATATGAAATAAATTTGGCTACAACACAAGCAATACTACAGTCACTGCATTTTTTATTCAAAATTATTATTATTATTAAACACTTGGGAGTCTCTCGTTAGTCTCTCCAGGTTAATATGATCATCATTTATAGTAAAAAAATCCTCCCAAAAAAAGAACTTGCGCTCTTGTGCAATCGACCTTTGATAATGCAATTTATTTTACTCTACTGTGCAAATAAAAAATAAGCATTGTCCAGCACATGCCAAAAAGTAACATACAATAGTTCTGCCCATACGGCTGTAGTTCACAGAAAGAGCGACTAATGCCGGTTCAACAAGAGCATACAAAAGCTTTTAATATTCATAACAGCTTCGAGTATGCCATGCTCCTGGCTTGTGGAGGGATGTTGTCATTCCCAGTCATTACTATCAGCAGGTCTCAGTACTGCACTGCTGAGCCTTTCCTTACCACTGAGGTACCAGCCATCAGTGAATCCTGCACTTTACAGCCACTCTGTACCCAGGAAAGGAGACAAGTACATGAACAAAAGTTCTACCAGTACCTTTTCTACCAGGTTTAGCACCAAAAGTAAACAGCACTGTACACTTTGGGGATTACCTCTTCAACAGTCTGAGAATGCAAAGTACATTTGTTTTCCTCTAAATGAAGAATGATACAATAGCTTTCATTGTTGGGGCAAAAATATATCAGGGGTAAGATGTATTGTCTGGTTGATTACGGACAGTTAGGGTACCAGGGAGGATTGTAGGCATCCCATTACAGGAAACAGTCATGAGACACAGGTAGGCTAGTGTTACAAACTCCCTCCCGAAAATTCTAAATGCCTGGATGTCATGTAGAGGCTCCGTCTATACGGTTAGTGTGGATGGGGGAAATTGTGAGGCCAGCTTAAGTCATACCATTTTAAGTGCTTGTTCAAATTTCTCCACATTTTCCTCTATGAATCTTAGCAAGAAGGTTCTTCAGAGGTTTGTCTATGCCAATCCAATATAATTTGAAGATTTCAAAAGCATGGATACCCCATAAAGGATGTTCTTGCCTTCCTTAGCAGCCAGATTTTCCCTTTTGTTCTCCCAGAATGCAGCGCAGCGTAGGGAGGATAGAATGATCAGTTACTATGGACGACAAAAACTGTTCTACCTTCATCCCTTTTGATATGGTCTTATAGGACTCCAAGCACAGAGTAACAAGAGGTGCATTTCAAACTAAATTAGAAGTTAGCAACTTTTTCAAAATTCCAGACCTGTCAATCACCTGCAAAGTTCACCATTCCTTTTTCCAAGTAACCCCAGCCAGTGATGCCGACCGAACCTTCACAGGTCAAGTGAAACAGTTGCTTGGAAAGTGAGAAATCCTGTTGCAGCTTCACTACAATAATAACTTTGTCCTACAGAGTCTAATCTTCAGACTGATTACAGAAGCTCGGTTAGCATAGCATGCCACAGCACGTGCTTCAGTACTCCAGCTTCCTATTATTGAAAAGAACGATGGGTAAGGTGGAAGTTGACAATTAAATTTAAGCCAGTCAACATTTCTCCCCCTTTTATCTAGCTGTGGCTTTATAGTAAACCCGGCTCAGGAAAACCCACATATATTTGCAGTTAACTAATACTGTAGGCGATTTTTAGCAAATTGTCTCATTTATATAGAATTTCTAAAATAGATTGTGTTAGACAAGAAAAAAAGTGCATAGCATTGAATCAAAATCATCTTGTATTAGGCTGTCAGCAAAATAAACGTTGGTTACCATTACTGCACTTTGCACTTTTTTCCTGCACAGTTTATTGGATAAGGCCAATAGGCTATCTTTTTTTTTTTTTTTTTAAATAGCAAGACATAATTATTTGTTACGGAAAAACTTTGCATGGTCCAACATACCAAAAGGCCTTCTGTATCGGATTTACTCATTTCATTTAATCCTAGACAATGAAAGCCAACATTTTACGAGCCAAATTACTTAATAGCCCCAATTGTAGTCCTATACCATTTCACTTTAGAGTCCTGTACTGCTGTATTTAATGCCATGCACCATGGGAAGTATAAATGCCCATTAGCTATATTCTTTTTATTTATTAAATGTCGTAAAATACCTTTTCTTTCTAAGGGGAAAAATTGACTTCTTGGCCTCTTATCATGGTGCCCTATATTAGCATAGCTGAGTAACAGCACCAAGCCTCATCACATGTCCTTACAAATACAAGGTAGTGATGAGGAAAAGAGGGCATGTCTGACCAGATCAGTTAGATTACAGGGAGCACTGGACAGTATGGTCAACTTCTGGTGCCCACTGCACTATGCAGTCTTATATAGATCTCAGAGAGCATCGGGCAGTAACCTGCAAAACTGCTCTAAGAAACGTGAAAGAAGACCATGAAAATGCTTGTTCAGTACAATACTCAATTCGTGAAGCTTCACACAAGAAGACTCTTAATTATAGTCACGAGTCTAATTTTCAAATGTCACTGGATAGGATTCTTTATACTGGCATTTCAGCTTTATGAATTGAGCCTCATATCTGGCTGAACACCCATTTCTGGGACTTCATTTGGGTGTTAAGAGATTTCAAGATATAAGTGACATCACTGAGCCTCATATCTCAATGATGTTACTAGCCTCCAGAAAACCCTTGTACTCCTGATGTTCAGCCAACAATGACCTCACCGGGTGGAAACTGGTAGACAAACTTGCCTGAAGAACATGTGGGAACTTGGGGAATGTAGTGCCAAAAAAATCAGCGTGAATTTGCATTATTTCAGTTAGAAAATGTAGATACAAAATTTCGTCATGGAGACGGTACTGCCGATACATTGTGTGATGCCCAGTCTGGGAAGGTGTTAAGGTCAAACATGGGTATTCCCCAAGTGTAAAGTCCAAAGCATAATGCCAGCATGCTGATAAGGTTTGTCCCCAGTCCAGCTTTCATCTATAAAAAGGAGAGAAAAGATCAAGTATTAGAGCAAAGCCATTGTACACCATGTTCAAACACCATAAATGAAAAGCATTACAAGCTCCGGGCTAAACATATATGGTCTTATTACAAGAGGCATGTGTATTGTTACTTGAACCTTGGGGTCCTTTGTGTATTTCTGCCAGATAAAAAGACGCGAGACATCAAATTAAATAGGTCTGATCTACTCACCATGTCTGGCACAGTTAAGTGGCCATATGAAAACACAATGGCATTTGGAGGATTGGCAACAGGCAAAAGGAACGCACATGAGGCACTTATTGTAGCTGGTATAATGATTAGAAGGGGGTTCACTCCAATTCCTTCAGCCTTTATCCAATGGAAAGAGAGGGAAAAAAAAAACGAAAAACCATACAGGTTAATACTAAAATCTCAAGTCTGCAATTCATCTCTGTAATCATTACATTTTTTATTTACTACAAGTTATGCAATACCTAAATCTGACCTGGTATCAGCACGTTGCAGTCCCTGTACAGTAGGGCTGGAGTGTGGGAGGAAGAAACTATACAAGGAGCCAATCAGTTCATGTGTGGACAAAGAGCATGCAAATAGGAGTCAGGTCCAATCTGACCCGGGGTCAGAGAAAGTGGGTTGAATTATGTTGGCCTTAAGACTTTGGCAGTGTAAGTTGTGCATTCACAAGAATTATCTCCAGCATGCAAATAGTTATAAAAAACAAACTCAATGGAGGTAGGGGGTTTAAGGGGGCAGACAGTTGCCCAAAAACATTTAGACAGCCCAAATGGCAATAACACTACAATGTGGCTAATAAAGAATTATAAAGTAAATATATATTTAAAATCACATGAGGAATTACTGTAATAACTAAAAGGGATCCTGTATCTTGTCAGTTTATAACTTCTGTGCTGCAATCAATCAATCACATTGTCCGTTATCTCTGAGGTCTACAGATCCCCTTCCCTCCGTTATGGAGGGAGGGGGGGGAAGGAGAGAGGGCTTCTTTAGTCCTGTCCGAGGGTAAAAACACTGCTTCTCCATAGTTTGAGTATAGTGAGAGATCGCTGTCACCTTATGAACAGGAAGAGTGTTACCGGCTAGCCGCTAGGTGAAAATAAAGAAAAGCAGCTTGGGGGGAAAAAAATTAAATAATGCAGCTACTACATCTAAAAGGACTAGTAAGCTACAATATATGACTTTTTGGTATTTAGGCTGAGACAACCTTTAGGTGAGTGTGCATGATGTATATTTTCACAGCCATGCACATCAGGTTCCACTAGATAAAGTCCTCAACAAACAAAATACCCATTGCCCACCAGACCAGAATCCCACTGCAGTATGTAGAAGGGTGCTGGAATGACGTGCGGTTGGCGCTGCACAAATTCAAATGTAGGAGATGTAGTCGCCTGCACACCAAGGTCCAATGCATCAATACGTCGTTTCATTGACAGCAGATACACATGGCATCACAGGTATGAACAATGTTTCGGAAACCTACAGAGTTCCCTTCATCAGGCAAATAACATAGTGACCTATGATATTTGCCTGATGAAGGTCACTATGTTATTTACCCGATGAAGGGAACTCTGTAGGTTTCCGAAACGTTGCTCATACCTGTGATGCCATGTGTATCTGCTGTTAATGAAACGACGTATTGATGCATTGGACCTTGGTGTGCAGGCGACTACATCTTCTGGTTCCACTAGATGGCAGCACATGACCACATGTTTCAGTGCCACCGCTACACTGCAAAGTCACGGACTGCTTGCTATGGTGTCTAGGACAGCAACAGTCCTATTTCTTTACCACCATAGATGCAATAAATGTGGCTGATTTATAATACATTAATACTGATAAGAGTTGGTGTGTAAGCCAAAGCAACCAGATTTTAAAGCATCCTTCTTCCTGCATAGATTATAAAATGAAATAAAGGAACATGGTTTTCCCCAGTGTGGATAAATCAGAATTCAGCCTAATAAAAATGGATGTCCCCAGTGTCAATCTAAAAACAGTCCTCAGCGAGAAGCCTGACATGGAGGAGCAACCGACTTGGAAACTGAGCACCGCAGAGCACTTTATAAAATAGGTTCATGCCACTCTGCTGAGCTAAGCAGTTGTTGTGGATGTAGGGGAAGTTACCATTAATCCCCCCATTTTCTAGGGACAGTCGGCATTTTGAGAGGTCTGTCCCAGGGAAACAAACATCCCCTGTGGCAGTGAACTTCAGTCATGTACATCCAGTTTTGTACATGCTGTGATGGCTGCCCCTAGGATCCTGCGTCACTTACTACTGACCCGAGTTACTTCCTACTGAACACTGCATTATCTACTACTGAGCTCTGGACTCTGCGTTACTTGCTACTGTCCTGTACTCCATGCGTTACCTACGATGTCCCCCGTACTCCAAGCCTTACCTACTCATGACCCCTGTATGCCATGCATTACCTACGGACTTCCTTATTACATGTGTTACCTACTCTTGGCCCCTGCTCTCTGCATATGACATACTCCTGATTCCTGCTCTGTGCTTTATTCACTCTTGACCCCCGTGTTCTGCGTTACACACTCCTAACCCCTGCACTCCACATGTTATGCACTCTTGACCCCAGAATTCCATGCATTACACTCTCCTGAACCCCGCACTCTGTGCGTTACACATGCTTGACCCATAGTGTTAAAGGCTCAGGGTTTATTTAACCATGCCTCTTCAGCTGCTTCCACTGCTTGTGCAATTTGACCACACGCATGATCTCGTCACTGCGGTTGCAGCATTTTTTTCACCCCTTTATAGTGCCCAGAGCACTTTGTCTTTACATCTTCAATGTCTGCTTCCGTTTCCAGAAGTCTGTGACCAAATTGTTTCAGGGCAGGCTAAAAATGGGTGTGGCTACAAATTGGAGGTGTGGCTTAAGGGTGAGATTACCAGTGGCCATGGTCAGTAGGTTGTCCCCGGATTTCATTTTGGAAAATCTGGTAACCTTAATGTAGGGGAAAGAGGACAGAAGCTGGAAGGAGCCCAGCAGAGGCTGCCAGTGGGGGTCAGTAGTAATTCGAACCCGTTTCTATACTCTGACCACTTACTCCTTCCAGCAGCAGCTTAGGGGCCACTTGCAGACAGGAGACTGATCCATTTTCAACTGAATCTGGAGACAATCAGGCAATGTTTATCTCATATGGGTGTGTACTAAATAATTTATTTTGCATGCAGTTTCTGAATTTGTAACATGAACATACCAGAGAACAAAGGATGGGTTGGAATATGGTAATAGTGGCCGGGTTGCTTGCCACTTCTGTAACGGATGTCACCAATAGACAGACGACCAGAACAATCACCCACACAGGCAGGCTGCTTAAAGGTTCCATCTTGTGCCCAACCCATGTTGAAAGGCCAGAGACCTAAATAAAAAGAAAAAAAAATATCAAACGATTGTACCAAACAATTCTAACATCTATGGGCTTATTCATTACAATTAAATATTATGCAAACTGCAGTAACCTACAGCAGCCTATCAAAGTAGGTTTCACTAATCTGACTGCAGTAAAAATTAAGTCCAAGCTGTTGATATGGATTACTTCACTTTACAAGGTACCATTTCATGCTGCTATTCATGGTCTGGTTACAGTATGCCTGTTAAATCTGAGGAAAGAAGAAGTATACCAGACACTGTGGTTCTTCACAAACATTAGATTTAAAGCTAAACCTCCAGGCAGATATAACCGATTAATTTCGATTAATTATAACGCACATACAGAATTCTTGTCTAAGCAACAATGGTAATGGGGACAGGGCCACACAAAGAAATTTAAAAAAAAAGGTAAAAATCTGCAGGTATTGATAGAAAGTCTTATTAAGCTTAAATTCCCCTCGGAGCTATTGAAAAGATTTCAAAACTTCCATCTCTGTAAGTAAAGTGTATAATATCAATAGAAGCCTTTTTTGTTATGCCTGGAAGATGGCAAGCTGGTATAAATTAGTCAAAGCTTCATTACTCCATTTTATGGAACAATGTGTTTTACATCACACACTGAAGTCCTCTGTCTGCACAATAGGCCGCCAAGCAGACTGTGTGGTGGGGTTGGGATGGCGCATTTGTCATTGTGTGTCAGGCTTTGTTACCCACCCCTCATGCGTCTGTTGCAAACTAGCCCCTTCCACCCCCCAAAAGGTTACCACTCCCTCATGAGCAACATAAACAAATAGAATGTTAAAAAAATTCTCAGGAACCGCCACTGTAACTTGTACTGTAATATCACATATCATCATTCTATTGTTCCAGGTAATTGTTGTCACATTTGCCACATTCTACAGTTCTATTTCAAACATCTTTTTGCCACAAACAAACATGGCGGCTTCGCTCTCCCTGCGTACACGTTCCCCATCACGTGACTCTCAAACCTTGGAGTTGGAAAGAGCTGCTCCTGCAGTATTCAAAATGCTTTAATGCTTTTTTTCCCTCTCAACAATCTTTATTGATATGAGGCACAACCTTCTTTGTTCGCGTTCCCATGGATACTAACGGAAGTAGTCACCGGTCGGTCTGTCACCCCCTACATAGACTTCCTGTTTTTGTGACCTTAACCTTGCATGTGGAACGGAGGAATTCCAGACCATCATGTCTCTGGTTAACGGTGCCTTTGTATCACAGATAACAGGGAAAAGTGATCTGCCTCCTTCCCCTCTAATGATCATGTGTGTATCTGGTCATAGGGAGTCCGGTCACGAAGGGAAGAATCCGGGGACGTCACGGACATCGATGTCTGTGACGTCACCGGATCTCGGACGGAACTCCCGGAAGACCCGTAAGCCGGCGGAGAGGTGAGTATCTATCTATCTAAAAAATATTCACCTAGCTGTGCTGTTTGACAGTGCTATGAACATTTCAGGACTGCACAGACAAGAATACAAATCCTTTGACAGTCAAAACAGCTCCCTTATATGTACTTCATAGTTGTATTTAGCTGTATTTAGCTATTTAGCTGTTGTCCTGTAGTTCTGCTTTAAAGAAAAACTCCAGGTATAAATTGTATTAACCCCTTTGGGGGCTACCCCCACACTACAAGGGTTAACTGCTTGTTTTTTGATAGATAGATAGATAGATAGATAGATAGATAGATAGATAGATAGATAGGATAGGATAGTCGGCAGTGCTCCCTCCAGCTCGTCTCCTCCAGCTGCAGCGATGGTATGTCTCTCACAACCTGTACACTGCTTTGACTCGAGGATCCTTAGACTGCTGCAGGAGAGTGGGATAGACACCACAGGGGCCGGTCTAAGCTTAAAAACTTGGAAGATTGGGAGAGTATAACTTTTGACCCCAGGCAAAAAATGAGCAGTTAACCCTTGCAGTGTGTGGTGTAGCTGCACTGCAAGGGTAAAAAAAAAAGTCTGCCCAGAGTTCTTCCCTAACCTATAAGAAAAACTAAAGAAACGAAAACAGGCGAGCCCTTTTATGTGCCTTAACTAAGGCAAGTAAAAGAGAAATCATCAAGCAGCTCATCAGTTTAATTTCCATGTGAGAGATGCAATATACTACAAGATCCTGTTGTGATAAAAATAGAAGTTGGAGTTAGTCATGAGTAGAAGATGGACACAATCATCAAGGTGCTACTGTACTGTTCTTAAAAAGGACACATTTGGAAGGCATAAGAACATGTACAAATGTTGGTTGCAGATGACTGTGGGGGGGTTTAATATATAGGTATTCAATCCATGCAGATGACTTACTTCACAGCCCTTGGCCAAGGCAAAACCACCTCCAACTAATATGACTATATGCCAAGGTATACATTCTTCAAACTCCTTCCAGGTAATCATCGGTGTGGACTCCCCAGATGGGGAGGGCCTAGACTTTTCTAGAAAAAAACAACAGAACAAACACATTTTGGGTCATTCAACTAGCAACAACATAGAACCGGCAAGGAAGGCATAGCGAGAAAAAGGTGGTTGACCCACCAATTGGAAGCAGGGAAATTTGTGTAACATCAGGCCAAATGTAATACATGCTTGGGTGTCCCTTGTCTGACAAGAGGCTACTATAACGGAGGTGTAGAGGGGTCTCACATGAATAAGGGGTAGCTTAGACCCAAGACTTTCATACACAAGGCTCTCGATGATCAAGAAGATCTTGGTGTGTTGCTTTAAACTGGCTTACATGTAAAGTACAGTAGGTAGTGGTCGGCAGTACAGCTATATGCAACTTACCTCTTGATCTACAGCGCAGCCAACTGGGCTTACGTCCAGGTATAATAAATAACAGAAATCCAAAGAGAATAGATGAGGTAGCGTCTGACTTATACCCTTTGCTGTTAAAAGGAAATACAACATAATGCACAAATAAGATATCACTGCAGGAAAGACTTGTCATTTTAAATACCAACCCCATTACAGGTTTGTGTTGTCCCTAGCATGAAGTCAGATTGCAGCTGTCATTTCATGTAAGCTTGAAAATGGAAGAATGGAAAGGAAGAATCCGGATTCCATTAGGAGATAAGTAAAGCTTTGCTGTGCCGGTGGCGATTTGATTAACCCAGCTATATTCATGAACTGGTAAAAAGTGGTCTACATGGAGACCTGTTTCACTTCCAATCAATAGTAGGCTTTCCAACTGAGCCCACACCATTACTTGATGGGATCAAACTTGAGATGCCACTTTCAAAGCCACAGGGTTTTATGGGGTGCGAAATCCAGTCCCTTATGCAATGAATAATTCATCTGATCTTTGTACCACTTGTTCACGAAGCAATTTGGAATAGTGAAAGCCAATGGCAACAACCCAGTGAACCCTGGCTCAGAGTGAACAGGCTGCATTTACTGGACGTTCTCACACAAATGGATCTGCTTATGTCGAATTCCTGTGGGTAACACTTTGCTTTCTTTGCATGTGACATTTGCATAGATGTTTGATAAATGGAGATGTGAAGAATGCAAATTGTCAGTCAACAGAACCGAGGGCTTACTTGTACAAGAGTGGAAAACAAATGCAGTATTGTGTATAATTTAGCATGCAGGGTCAGAATAGTTAGTGAAATTCTATATTCAGCTTTCCTAAATGGGAAAACTGCAGGTCACTGTCCCCTAAATGCAGCATATTTGCAAAGTATCCATCTGGTAAAAAAAATTAAACTGCCCTGACAATTTCTTTTTAAAGTATGTAGTTAACTTGTGTTCCAAAACACAGCAAAACTGCATGAAATCACATCTGCAGAAGCTGTAAAATTCTTTGTGCCCATGAGGGGGTTGACTATGTTACCAATGACTCTTCAAAGGTCCTGGGATACAGTAGTGCCCAGGTATATGACAGGATTCACCTTTTAAAGCATCATAATATAGTATGTTTTCTTTTAAATCTTGCGGTTTATAAGTAATGAACTGAAAGGGTCTTTAGCCTGTGCAATCCACAAATGGTGAAATCCTAAGCTTTTGTGTAACCAGCATGCAAGCCAAAACACACTGAGGGACAACAAGATAAGGCACAAATTAGACTACCAAGTGAGACAAAATACATGCAACAATTTTTCTGTTTATTTGTGAGCCTGGCAATGTTGGGCAGCAAAGACATTTGCAGAGGTCTAAGGCCCCTTTCACAAGGGCTGATCAGGAGGGGGATGTATGCATGGATCTCCTCCTGATCAGAGCAGGACGGATCAGAGGTCACCGCATGACCAGATGAAATGGAGGTAAACGGTCATGTTTCCATTTGCATAAGATTACCCCCAATCCGACACGATTTGTCGAAATGGAACACTGTTCCATTTATTTTCCTGGACCTGACTCGAGGATAACCAGGTGTAAACCGATGCCTGTCCGTTTAGACCCAGCTGCCTATAGACTAGCGTTGGGCATCCGATCGGGTCCGACTGAAACCGACAGGCGGACCTGATCGGAACACCCATGTGAAAGGGGCCTTATACAGCTTTAGCATTGAAGAGGAGACAAAATTTAAAACTCAGGGGAGGTACAACTATGAAGTGGTCAGGTGCCAGTTTTTACAGACACATTGCTACTTTAAAACAGCTATAATTCATGGCTCAAGCTACAACCTTATAGAAAATCTGTACAATAAATTGGTCTTGCTGCTCCTGTTTAGCTTGGCCTTACTGTGCGACATAAAAGATAAGTGTCCCTCTCTATATAGATAAACATTTATGAGGTGTACATAAAATTAAAAAGATTAGTGACAGAAAGCATTAAAAAAAGAATTGTGTTATCCACCTAGCACAACTCACAGTCCAAACAGTGAATCCCAACCTGGGACAAATCCAGGATCCCGGGTGAACCAAGACAAGGCCATCAACAGGAAGATTGAGAGCGTTACAACCTCCTGATAACTGCAAGGTAAAATAAAGTTTTTTGGTCAGATCTTTACAAAAACAGGCTTGCCACATACACAAACCACATTAAGATATGAACCTGAATATATAATTAGAGTAGCACTATGGCCAAACTATAAAATCATGTATATGGTGTATGCTGCCCATGCAAGGCCAGGCTTTCTGTTTTTCTAAATACATTTTGTAAATACCTGCTGATTCTGCCAATAGAACCATCCGATAGGCCTATCCTGATAGGAAAACCACAGTCACTCCAGTCACCCTTCAACAGTAAAACCATTGTCACCCCTTGCTGCTGCTACAGCTGTTTAGATGCTAGGATCCCCGATAACACCCATCAGTGAATAGTCCCACCTAGCTCCATCCACAGTCCTTTTGATTAATAACATGTTGATCTATCCACAACAGTTTAGAAAATTATGTAAAAGCCTTGTTCCTTCCCTGCAACCCCCTTCAGCAATGCTCAGCAGGATGAAGGAGAAATCCAGTCTCCCAACTAGAAGCATTACATTGATTTGTTTCCTCCTAAAATGAGCTCTTCAGCAAAATTTGGTACCAAAAAAAAAAACAAAAAAACACACGGACGTGTACATGGTTACCTGTAGCATTTGCAGGTTTCTACATAACATACCTTAAGGGGCCCAACTTTTCATATTCTTGTCTCAAAACCTTCCTTGAGTCATCTTCTGTAGAAGATTTTGATTTTCGACAACACTGCATTTCTTTTAGACTGGAAAAAAAAGCAAAAGCATTGATAATAAAAAAAATTTAAAAAAAAAAAAAAAAAAGTAGAAAAACAAGAGTTTCTAATGATTTGGTGTAAACACATTCACCCATCATTACAGCTTTTTAGATTTCCAAGTATAGATCATCTTCATGCAAGTTTTATCAAAGGGCACTTATCACAAGAGCAATACGCGTTGGCGCCACTGCTGATATCCTTCCGGATAGGCTAGTTGCTTGGTTCTAGATTGCTCTGAATCACTGACACGGTACGAAAGCGTCCAGCACTCCTGATCTTTACACTTTCTAGGCAATTCAAAACAGGACAGGACAGGCACAACAGCCAGGCAACTAGCATTCACAAAGGGGGATCAGCGGAAGTTTCCATATATTCCACACGACAGCTGATATACTTCCGAATATGCTAGTTGCTTGTTTTGCGCTTGCTCTGAATCACTGACCCACTACAATAGTTCCACATGACAGGTTGCCAAACATTCAGAGGTTCATGTAGTGGATTGAATGTTGGTTCTCCTCCCATTGCATCATATTGTACTTTTCCCATAGACTAGAATTCTTCTTTGGAAGCTAGCTACTTTCTACCAGCTGTTCCAGATAAAAGTCTCATCCAGCACCTTGTTGAGTTCACGTCAATCTCCTGAATCCTGTTCACCTTCTATAAGTATCAGCACAAGATGACAGGATACATGACCAAGTACAGTATTGCTAATGTTCTCCCTACCTGAAACCCAGGAACAACCAGGTGATCCACATCCAGGTAAATATCAGGATGATGAATGCAATAGGAAATGAGAAGGCAATCCAGGATCCGAAATTCACAAACTGACATCCAGGGTAACGACTGCATTAATAACGGAAAGGACATGAGAAATTAATACAGATCATATTAGGTTCAATGCACCCCTCATTACACAGCTTCCCATACAATGACTATAATTGGGCAGAAGCTCCAACAGAAATGGAGAGGAGCACTCACTTTTAAAAGGGTAAATGCACTTTGGGAATAAAATAAAACTCCTGAGTTTAACGTCACTAACGTAGAATGCATAGCTGCTAGTCATGTGACCCAATTACTTACGTTTCAAATTGTTCAATAAATATGAGATTGGTGGAAGTCCCTGTGAGCGTGGCCATCCCACCAATGGTAGAAGAATATGCGATGCCCAGAGAGAATGCTTTGCACATCATGTGATCTCGCTTAGTCCGGTAGAAGCGACCAGACTTAGCCTGCGGAGGCAACAAAATATACATTTCAATTTACAAAGCTGGACGAGTCCCCTGCAATAGTTAATTTCACTGCATGATGATTTTTCCATCAAAATAATTTACATAAACTGTGAAGTCCTAAAGCTTGATCAGGCATGGAATCTTTTTGCAAGAAATAGATATTTGATAATTATTGATAACATTGTCTAAATCTGCATTTCCTTTGTTTCACAAATTGCACCTTAATCCTGGCACTATATTCATGATCAGAAGTAACTCAATCCTAGATGCTCATGGCCTGGTTTAGCATTGCTAGTATAGGTTAGTAAAAATTGACCCTGTAAATAACTTTCATACCTTTCTGCATACATGTACACTCCCTTCACAGATCTATTTTCCTCTAGGAGCAAAGGGAAGAGTTACATACCATACGGTATGGTATGGTACTGCATGTGACTTGCTCCCTATCTATAATGTGACAGCTGTGGTCTTGGGGGATTGGTCCAGTGCCATCACAGTGAGAGACCATAGCCCTGTGCAAGCCCTGATTGGGCTAGACTGAGAGCTAACACATGACTTCCTTTCCTTCCTTCAAGCTGGAGGGGAGGGGGAAAAAAAGCAAGTATTCCATACTGTGTGCTGCCCAACATTAAGGTATTTGCGAACTTTAGACCAGTTTTGCATCAACGTACAAGTCTATGGGAATACAAAACCAGCTTGAAGCTGGTCAGACGGAGGTCAGCTGCGTGTCTATCCATCAAATTCAAAATGATTTTAGAAGCATCTCAAATGGACGTCATTGATACAAGTCCAAAACCCATCAACACAGGCCCCAAAACTAACCCCGTTGCTTTACCCTGCATATGCTCATTTTAA